GCTTAAGTGTTAGCCTCACAGTTCGATATTATAGTAAAAAGAAAAAGGGAAAATACCATTTAGTACTAGCAGCATTTATGTTTCAGCTCCACCAAATAACCCAGTTAGTCACAATAAGTATATATTATTGTTCTTTTTATATTATTTTAGATTTAATTGAACTAGATTTAAATTGAGCCTGATCTTAATTAATGCCCTTCCAGTGTCGCCAACATATGATCCTAACCCATCTGCTTACTCTGATATCAAACCTGAGATCACAGAAACTTATGACATACTGGGACACAATCGTGGACATGTTCATCCTTCTCTTCCTAATGATGGAACATATTCCAGACTTAACACTGAAGGAATTCCTGTCTATGATAAATGTCAACATAATGGTGATGCAACAATGAAGCCACAGCCACCACAATGACATCATGGTGAATATTCTCAATTGAATGTGGGACAGCAAATGTCATGTCTTGGAAGTTCTGTAGCAACTGATCAATATTCTAGTGTTGTCCTAGACAGGACACCGATTGTCAATGGGATTCCTCTTGTTCAAAAAGTACATAATATTATAGTATATTAGCTGCATTTTAACATTACATTAATTTAATGTATTATCCTTATCAATAGATTTAACACACAAAGACCTATCTCTTCATGTCATTCCTCATTTAACAAGTAAATGACATGAAGTGGGATTGGCATTAGCACTGACTCCTCCCCAGCTTGATGATATAGAGGAGAACAATCAAGGAATAAGTGATGTGTTTCAATTGTGGGAGGATCTTGCTACACGCCCATTCACATGGGAGACTTTATTAAACGCACTCAGATCTTGTCAATGAGTTTCAGCTTGCAAATAAGCTGCTAGAGTTATAATTACCAGTATGCGTGTTTGACTTTCAAAAATAGTTATAACAATTTATTATTTAATTATTTGAAGGTGTGGCTGAACTGCAAGGCATGCACTAGGTGTGGCTAATTAATTAATTATTATACTATTGAATAAATTTGGGCGTGTTTTTTTTAGAAAAAAATGCTTTTAAATCTATTGCTAACTTTGGCTGGGGTGTTTATATTTAGGAATAAATTGATTGGAAATTTGAAATTATAAGTTTAGCTTTTCACACTGTATGATTATAACAAACGTGGCATGGCAAAAATTGCATGACATACTAATTGTCCGAGGCATAAGCTCCTTAGAGCCAAATGAGAATCGAAATTGAATTTTAAAAAATGTTTAAAGCTGCTGTCAAAAATGAATAAAGGGGAATTCTGCATTATTTTTTTCTGATACATATACATGTACTTGTGTTGTATTTTAAGTTCGAGCTAATTCTGATAAAAATTGGATTTTTTTACAAATTATTTAAGCTACTCAAAAATGCCAAAGTCCCTGTACTATAGTACAGGGTCATTGGCCAAATTTTGTCAAAAGTCACTTGTTGAGAATTTTCATTTTTATAATTATTTCTGATGCATCATATACACGTGTACATGTACTTATGTCATGCATTAAGTTTGAGCCAATTCTGATCAAAATTAATTTTGCATCCTTGCTACATCAGTACATGGTATATCATAGTATTTATATTGCATGAGTCGCCAATATAAACAAAATTTGGCATCACATCATTTTTATTTGCTTATACTATCATCAAAATGATAATAAACCCCCATTAACCCCAATTTCAATACATCAAGACCACCCACCTAGACCTATACTATCAATATCAATAGAAAGGTCTGACTTGTTTTTATTGTTATCAGATGTACTTTAATTGTTAGACACTACACAGTCTACACTTGTATCTTGACAGCTTATAGTCATGTCTAGATCTATGTATAGTTCAATTAGTAGGACAATGACCATTGATGTATCAGTAATTGAGCTCATTGTTATTGAACACACAGAACTACATGATTTATTATATAGTTTACTTATTACAAAAAAAAACAGAAAATGAATGTAAACATATGGCGTAACACAAACCTAATGTCAAGTCATGCTGCCAACTCATATACAGTGTAGTAAATGCACGAGTAATGTTTTGCAACTTTGGTTTTTTGTATTGCTTCATTACTATAATAGTATAGTGGGTTATGTTCCAACTCTGATGGTAGACCACAGCTTATTAAGCAATAGACACCAGATGCTATGTCAGTTTCAATTACCATACAATTGAATGAGATGAAGGGTTTTATCAGTACAGGTGTATACATAGCTGGCTGATGTATGGATGCAGCTGTAGATGTTAATGCAATGTAATCCTTTGCTCTGATAAGCCAGTATTAGTCATTGGAGGATTGTACTTTTACTCATGTTTACAAGAAATGAATATGCTGTTGACTAATCATAACTATACTCATGCTCTCAATTTGAAATGTGATACTTCTTATCATCATCATGGGTATTCAGTAACTCCCCAAAGAGTGACTTTCCCTCCCTCTTTTCCTCCCCCACTAACTGTAAGCAAGGAAGGTAGCGTTGTGTTTTGTTGTTCAGTTACAAAAAACTAAATCTTGTTCGATAACAAATAATGATAGTGTATGCTTATGCACAATACAAGAGGTAACCTCATCGTCCTATATTACGTAAATTGTACATACAACTACTTCTTGCTTAAGAAATCTGTCTTATGAAATATTGTTTGTGTTAGAAGGCATATCTACATCTAGGTAGTGTATATTGCTTGTTTGTTGTCAATTTTAGATGCTTACTTTTTTTTTAATGTATGAGATATCACTGACATGTCACTCCCTGCCCTTCCTTCCTACATGCAATGTACACAAAACTACACTTGTGTAGTTTCCCTTACAGTAAGTCAATTTTTACTAAATAAGGGCTGCCAGTAGACTGGTACTTCCCTACAGTATTGATAATTACCACAGTTCCCAGTAGCCATTCAATACTTTGAATACTATAAGTATTTGTACAAAACTACTATAGATAGTAGTACTACTACCACAACAAAGTGCTGTGACAACCCACTGTGTCATGTAGTAAAACCATACAACTATCAAGACTTAAAAACAAGAAAAAATAAAAATATTTAAAGTTTATTTTGTGTGCTTAACATATATGTTCTTTAGAAACCACAGAATATTGACTTGGGACGGTTACTGCTGGTTTGAATTAATAAAACTATACTTAATTTAGTTCCAGTCTATATGCAACTTACCTTGAATAGGCCTATCAGTAACTGTATCATACAGCATTGAACCAGTTTGATCCTGTTGCCCCTCAAGTGTAGAATAGTCACTAGGACCTTGAGAGGATTCTTGAATAGACGTGTGGTTTAACCTTGAATACTCTTCATCATGCTGGGCCTGGTTGTTTGCTGGGAGTATTGTAGAATAAACAGTTTTGCTGATTTCAAGAGGAGGAGGATTTGCTGGTGCATTAGAACCTGGCTGCTCTACATCTACATAATTTACTGTATTCTATCAAACACATTTTAGCAACAATAGTATTTATTAATGTTCAAGAGTACCTTTGGCTCTACGTTACTTACATCTTGACTTGCTCCTAATACAGTATCACAAATAAAAATTATAATTTATACTTACTTTTACTAATCTCAAATTCTTTAGAATGAGTTTTATGTTTCCAACAGACAAAAGCAACTAGCACTATAAATACATTAATGGAATAATAATAAATAATGATTAATATTTATAAGAATATCTATAGGAATAATTTACCAATAAGAATAATGCCAAAAAATATTATTCCAAAAATACTTCCAATAACAATTGCAATCACACCACCATTGTCATTACTTGCCTCTCCTTTAAAAAGACATTTTACAATAAAGACAATTTGATGTATCTGTCACATACCAGTGGTTGAGGTAGGACTGGCTGGTAGCATAGAGGTGGGACTTGTTATCACAGGAGGGGATGAGCCAGCAGTAGGGGTAGGAGTACTTGATGCTACAACAATAGTAGTTGAATATGCAGGATTTGAAGCTTGGTTTCCATCAAAATTAATGTCATATATCACTACATCATAACTGCCACTTTCAACAAAGTCTTCTACATGCCCTGTCGCTGTGATATTCTCTCTTGTTAGTCTTGTAATATCAAGTGAATAGTTTTTCCCTGTTTTCATTTCTTCCATAAAAATACAGCATCCAGCAGCTTTTGATCCGTTTAAGAATGTACACTGAAAACTGACATTAGTACTGACTTTGGACAGAACTTCATAGCCAGAGACATCAAAGAAGCCTAAAGTAAAATAAAGCATTGACAAAGGTGGCAGCTATCAAAACTTACTGAGGGACAAAGGATTGCTGCTGTTACTATGAACAACAAGACCAGAGTCAAGGGTGATTTGAGTAGTGACATTGTGAAACTTATCAGCAGCTGATTGATCTGAAATGTTAAATGTTACCAAACCATCATCAGTGATGTTACTGGAATTAAAGATGGTGTTGCTATCATCAGTAGACTTTAGTTCAATAAGTTCAATTATGCAGTTCTTTAATTTTGCACTAAGCTTCTCATTTCCCTTAAAACATAAAATTATCATACTTCATTATAAATAGATCTATACTTACGTCTAATTTTACGGAAATGATTTGGTTTTGATAAAAATCAATATATCGATCCATAGGCTTAGTCTCACGAATTTCAGCTACCATAAATAATATAGATCACTATTTGATGTAATTAAAGTAACATACTTTCTTCCACAACAAATTCATGATAGTTTATTTTTCCTTCTCCTACTTCATTGACAGCTGCTATACTAATTGTGTGAGTGCCAGTCTCTGGAGGACAATATGTCGATTGTGTCATAGAGACATTTGTTTGATCTATTATCATGCCATTGTTAGTGATGCTAATGTTGTAATTCAAGATAGGAAAACCAGGCAGAGTGAAAGGAGCTATCCAGGAAAATGTATAACAACAAGAATCATAAGACAGTGTTAAATTATCAACAGGTGCTGGGACACCCTGTACTTTCAGTGTCACTGAAGAAGGACTAAAGTCTCCAATACCAAATCCAAATGCAACACATTGTACTTCAGTGTCATTGAATGGATCCACTAGTCCTGGTATAGTGAGAGAAGAGGATGTTGTTCCTCCTCCATTAGCAATGACACCAAGTGAAGTAAAATTTAATGTTGAAGCTGATATGTTATTTAACAACCAAGTGATAAGAACAGTTGGATGATCTGATGAACAGTAGAAGACTGCTGTATCCCCCTCAGCAATAATAGAAGGATGAGGAGATGAAGTGAAGGTGACTTCTACACTGCCACCTCCTAAAATGTTAGATTAATCTAGGCTTTATGACAGTCTACGAACTAACCTGTGGCAATACATACAGAGAAAACTACCAGCAACACAATCACAAACATGAGAGTAAAGCCTATACCTGTTGCTGCAGCCGCTAGCTCAAATTTTGAAATTAATTTATAATTTTTGACAACCCAACCTCAAAGCGCTATCTAATATCTATGGCGCTATCTACATCATCTAACCCACGCTTTAATAGATAACTGCTAGATAGTAGATGTAGTCCTCTTTGCTCACTTAGATCTAGATACAAGCATAAAAAAATACACTATTTTAAGCTGTAGGAACAATGCAACAGGTTCATAAAAGATTATAGATCTAGTTTTTGACGGAAATTTCAGTCATAGACTAGAAAAGGTTCATTAATACAGCCATTATATTTTTAGAAAGAGGAGACAGGCGAGTCAAAGAGATCATGGATATACAAACACATATTATATTATACATTGTATATCTATGAAGAGATTTATTGCACAGTACACACTATAGGAGTACACAGTGAACACTGAAAAGCTGAGCTGGAGAAATTAGTACTAATAATAGTGAATTCCTGACTCTCCCTGGGTCACAGTACCTGACAGACATTTTTAAAAGTATGTATGATTATGTATATAACTATCTTTTAACAATAGGGACAAAAATGCATTGATATATTATTTCAAGTGTAGTCTATTATAGTTCAATTATTTTTATAGTGCACAGTTCTACTTTTATATATTTCACTTTTAGACTTCCATTTCTCAATATTAAATTTAATAAATGGGTCCCCCAATTCCTGAACTGCTACCACTCTCTTGAGTCTCCTTTTCTTGCATAGACAAGTGCCCAAATAATATAAATAAAAGCAACCTTTTTTGTCATAGTTAACTAAGTGGATAATAAGTTTTGGCATAAAAACTTATTCACTCACTATTAGAATGATTAACTGAAGGACAAAAAAGCCTATTATATATAAGAAAAGATTTGAAAACTAAAAAGAATAGTATGTAGCTTACATGCCATCCCCAGTATCCACATGTCTCAGCAATGAGCTTGAACTCAGTGTTCAAACTATAAATTCATGAGCTGTATATGACTTTGCAAATTATTTTGTAATCTGTCATAGACTAAGAGGTCACAAGCCAAATTTGGAAATCGAGAGAATTCTCCATTTTTATGAGTTTTCTGATGCATACATGTTATTATTATTATTATTATCATTTTACAAGACTAAAAAGACAATACAAGCAATAAAGAGAAGGAGAGCAGAGAGAAACTGATAAAATAGTCTTGAAGGAATGCCAGGAACTAGTCCTGACACCCAAATACAAAATCAAGAAGAAAGAAAGTAGAAGGAAGAAAAGGAAGAGAATTACATGAACATATATAAAAATCAAGAGGGAGAGAGATAATTTGAAGGAAGAGAATTGCATGAACATATATTACAAGGACAAACAGTGTGTAAAGTGTGTGCATTAGCAGGATTAAAATCATTAATTAATTTGTCTGTAAAATATTTAATAATAACCTTTTTAAAGTGAGCCATTGATAATGAGAGACTGACAGGCGGTAATGAGTTCCACAGACGAGGGAAGCGGGGGAAGAACGCATGGTGGGTTGAGGACCAATTCAGTGAGGAGTGGATCAACTTGTTGTGAAATGAGCCCGGAGTGGAGGATATCAAAGAGAAATATTTGAGTATCAAAGTGAGAATCTCGATGTTGAACTTGCAAACCTTTATTATATCTAAGTAAATTACATCTGACTGGAAAAATAAACCATTATTATAGTTTAATTTAATAAAGTGAGCATTGCACAAATACAAGCAGAACTTCAGCACCTTAAAGTGTTAGAATTAGAAGAAAAGGTGAAAGTATCAGGATGCCAAGCATATTGCAAACTTGATAAAGAAAGAGTAAAGGTATCAGAATGCCAAGCATATGGTAAACTTGATAAAGAAAGAGTAAAGGTATCAGAATGTCAAGCGTATGGCAAACTTGACCAGTTGAGGATAACAAGAAACACAAGCTAATAATTATAATGATAATTATAAAGGTTGCAATATGTGTGTATACACCACAACATCGATCATTATACAATACTTTTATTATTATTACACAAGTGAATGATTGAGTGTTATTCTATTAAAACCAGTTCTTAGATTATTAGTTGTATATACTGTTGAATATTGTACTCCATTGATAACTGGTGGGCTATTAATCATAGTAACAACAGGTCGAGGATTATACCAGCAATTCTCATCATTATAAAGAGGAGGAGGAGGAAGAGGGGAGGAAGGGAAGTCCAACTGAGCATATTCACTACCATCAATTGGTCTTGCTGAAAGAGGTGGAGTAGCTTCTGATGAAACGTTTAGCCTTGAAGGCTACAATGAAACAGAAAGACAACATAAATAGTGAAGATCACAATAATCAACATTCAATCACAATGAATGACTAGTATTCAAACAGTATAATAAATTCAATATGTATCTTACTATTATGACACTCTGTGGTCTATCAAATGGCTCAGTTGCTATATTGAGTGCTGACTCATAGGATGGTGGAGGTGATAATTCATCAGCTACAGGTAATGATGCTAACTGATTCACTGCAGCCCATGCTGACAATACTGGTGTAGGTCTCAATGAGGACTAGAAATTGATTTTAAAAATTCATAAAGCAACTACAAATACACTAAGTAATAATGCATTTAGCTACACTGTAATGTGTGCTGTACATTAATTTTAATGCAATATAAATAAGGTCTCATAATGATAGGGGCTTACTCTTGTAGTCTGTGGTTGTACTGATGAATTACTATTATCTCTCAATATTAACCCAGTGTCTGATTGTGAACTATAAAAAATATTGCAAAAAATCAATAATTTTAAAGCTGATATTTGGAAAACATTCTTTTACTCATCTTCTATATGCATTAAAATATTTTGTAGGCAGTTTTAGTTATAAGTACTATACACTGGAGAATGACTTACTCTGGTGAAGGTAGGTCTGTAGTTACTGTTGATGGTGATGATGTATTGAGAGATGAAGGAGGAGGAGCAGGAGGAGGAGCGAACGATGGAGAGGTCTCGTCACTAGTGACAGTTGAAGGAGTAACTTCACGTTCCAATTCATTGACTGGTCTACACTCATACCTTGAGAGAGAAAGAGAAAATAAAGTTGTATAATGTATTTAAGGTAATAGTATGATAAATTGTAATATGTCTGTAATTAGGGTTCAAAATTTTAACTAAAAGGATAAATCACCTATTATTAAATATTACAAACTGCTAAGGTTGCTTCAAAATTTGGTCAAAAAATCTTGTTTTATAGTACATTGTACTTAAGTATCAAAAATGAGAACAAAATTCTGCATTATAAATTTTTTTCTAATGCATAATACAATGGTGGATCTAGGGGGGTTCCATGGGTTCCATGGAACCCCCCTTTGGCAGAAGAAGTTTTCTTTTTGCAGTTTTTTGCAGCACTTTTCCTCCATTTTAGTAATTAAAATTGATGAGCAACACTTAAATTTAATTAAAAGTAACGAGCCACACCCACTTAAGTAAAATGGAAACCCCCCCTTCAATTTTTCTGAATCCACCAGTGTAATACATGTTATTTTGTTGTGTTTTAAGTTTGAGCTGATTCTGATAAAAATTGGATTTTTTATAAATTTTTAAAAGTTACTCAACAACTGAGCCAAAGTTCCTGTACTATAGTACGGGGTCATTGGCCAAATTTTGCCAAAAATCATTTGGTAAGATATTTCCATTTTTATAATTTTTTCTGATGCATATACATGTACTTATGTTGTGTAGAAAATTTGAGCTGATTCCGATCCAATTTGAATTTTTTATGAATTTTTAAAGTTACTCAAAAATTGGGCCAAAGTCCCTGTACTATAGTACAGGCTCGTTGGCCAAATTTTTCCAAAAATCACTTGGTAAGATATTTCCATTTTTATAATTTTTTCTGATGCATATACATGTACTTATGTTGTGTAGAAAATTTGAGCTGATTCCGATCCAATTTGAATTTTTTAATGAATTTTTAAAGTTACTCAAAAATTGGGCTAAAGTCCCTGTACTATAGTACAGGCTCGTTGGCCAAATTTCGCCAAAAATCACTTGGTAAAAATTTTCCATTTTTATAATTCATTTTGATGCATATAGATGTACACGTGTTATGCAGAAAGTTTGAGCTGATTCCAATTAAATTTTGATTTTTTAAGTATCTTAATTAATAGGGGCTCACTCATTGGTAGGTTGAGGTTGGAATGAGTTTGATCTCCTCATTGTTCCATGATCCCTCTCTGTCTCCCACACCTTCCTTTGTCTATTCCTTCTCAATTGATAGATTATTAATATTGATAATATGATTATCATTAATATTAATAAGATTCCTATTCCTATAGCTGCAATAAAAAGAAAAAAAGAAATAAAATACATTACAATGAAAAGTAAAGGTATAATTAATCAACTGCACATAAATGCAATATACATACCAGCATCTCTAAATGGCTGAATAGAGAATGTGTCTCCAGATACTTCACCAGTAGTTGTAGGACCTACATGTATATACATATATCACATGACAATCATATGACACTCACCTGATACTGATGGACTACTAACAGAGTCACTCACTGTAGGAGAAGGTAGCAGAGATTGCACTGTAGCAGTAACTGCATTATTATCATCATCATCATCATCATTATTATTAATTATAATATTGGATAGGGTAACAGCAGCGTTTCCTCTTTCTCCATTTGTCTCTACATCATATACTGCAATGTTGTACAGACCCTCTTCTAGTTTAGTGACACACCCACTAACTGACTCCTCCCCTTTCCCTCGGTTAATGTGAACAGCAGTGTAACCAGTGGTATGTACTGTGTGTGACAGTTCAGCATAGCAACCAACATCACTGGAACCCTTCATAAAGGAACAAGATATGCACAGGACCCCCTTTTGGGGGGAATTAACGCTAACATTTTGCACCCCAAAACTACCTACAAAAATAAATAAATAAAAATAACAATAAAAATAAAATAATTAAAAATGACTTACTTATTGTTGCGTTAGCAGTATTACTGACTCCACCTCCATTCTCGTCCCACATAACGAGTTGATAAAACCTGTTTTCAGTCAAATTGAGCAAAACTAGCTCTACAAATCCATTTTTGAGTGGAAGTGGTCCAAATGAGTGGGTGTGGTATCCAGTGTTTATTTTAACATGATGAGGTAGCCATGAAGCACAGTTAGGTTGAATAATCTATGATAATAAATAAATAATAATATATAATTATAAATAATAAATAATATAATTATTTATTATTAATTTGATTGCTAATGTGTGAAAATTGACTTCTTTACAATAATCATAACGTGATAATGACTCACTAATTTTATAATAAGAATAAATGTTTAGCCTTGAACATGAACAAGGTTGAACAAGCAAGATTTAGACAGGAAGAAAGGAGAGTATTACCTTAAAACTGATGTTAACTTGAGGCAAAGAATCAACTGATGATTTATAAATGAATAACTGAACACTATCAGCTTTTATATGTGGAACTATAAAGAAAAGAAAGGAGAGAAATAAGATCATTAATTAATAATTTGCATATGATTTGAATTGGCTCAAAACTTAAGTAACTAACACACATGTTAATTTAAGGATGAGTTTACCTTCAATAATGTTAATGCTTCTAGTTGCATTGTTGCTATACCCAGCTCCATTTTGAGCAGTGACACTGACTCTATACAACTCACACTGAAAAGGCAGTGATATTAATGATGATAGGGTTGTATTGGATAGTACGTATGTCTCTGTAGTGTTAGTATATACACCATTCAATTGTAAGTGATAACTGGTGATGGGGACATTAAGCAGGGTGTGTGGAGATATAAATGAGATATTTATAAATGATGAATTTGTACGTAATACAGTTAGATTGTGAACTGGTTCTAATAGACCTATAAAAATAGAAGAGAGTGATAGAGAGAGAGAGAGAGAAAGGGAGAGAGTGAAGGAGAGAGAGAAAGAGGGAGAGGATAGTAACAACGAGTAGTAGTATCTGATGTCAAGTCACATTAGTCTAGTAGTAATAACAAAACAGAGAAATACAATGATTATAAAATTAGCAAAACAAACATAACCCAATCAGTATAATTGCTACAAAAAATATTGTCATATAATCCCATATTTAATGCTACCTGCCATTGTAACACAATACACTTATCATCAATTAATACACATTAGCTAGCATTTTACCTTGTACTAGAAGTATAGCTGAGACATTGGTGGTCTTGTGTGTATAAGAAATAGCAAGGCAGGTTATGATGGATCCGTTTAGTGTTTCAGTAGCATTAACTGTCAGCAGTGAAGTATACTCCAATGAGTTATGAGTGTCATTAGGTACTGCATTATATGTTATAGCTGGCAGCCCATTGATAGTCCATCCAAGAACTAGTGTATTAGAGGCCACACAAGTGAATGGGGCATTACTACCAACTGTAGTATTGAGTGACTGGGGAGGTACTATTACTAGAGAGAGAGAGAAGGAGAGAGGGGGACAAAGCAATATTAAACCAGTTCTTTGTTCACAGTATTGTTTTTTATTCTACAAGTACTCCACCTAGTGTGGCATAATAGAGAGAGTTTATTTTATTCAGTGTACAAACATGTGATAATCATGTTAGGAAGAATCATAGGAATGATACACACCCAAACCTCAAGTACATGTAGCACATTGGACATGTACTAAACCAATTTACCACATAATTAATGATGCTAGTTTGTAGTGGTCAAATCCATCAACACCCAAATAGTTGTACCCACTCTCTCTCTCTCTCTCCTCCTCCTCTACTTTTTCTCATCTTTCCTACATGTACATAGTTTACATGCATTGCTACAAATGACTTACTTTCTCCATATACAACTGAGAGCAATGCCAATGGAATGAGTAGTAAGTATGGGAGAAATGGTATCCTATAAAAAAGAGTGGACCAAATTTTAAATCAGTTAAAAATTCAAAAATTACAAGTTAATTTTGACACCTTGTTCACACCTTGAGGTGCAAACAAGAACAGGAAGTAAACCATTTTTATGCTTTTTAATTTTTTTAATTTTTGCTTTGCACTTTGTCCTTGATCAAGAACTGAGGGTTTAAAACTTTTAATAATTTTATTTTGTCTGTCTACTAGTAGTAGTACATCAATCAGGACATATGGTGTATGGTTTTTTGCTTTCTTTTGATGAGGGAATCCCATCAAATGGTCACTAAGTTTGGCCAAGAGTAGTACAGTATAATAGTAGAGCTACTATCTCTCTATATAAGGTAAGACAGGTAGCACTGACCAACTAGTTGTACCCACTACTAAAAAGACATAAATCTGGTCAAACTAGATAAACATGTTTATAAGGAACTGGTTAGTCTGAAGATCATGAGAATAAAAACAATTAAAGACACAGCAATGATGGACAGTGTTTATCTTATACCGTATCAATGATCTATTGTTCAGTTTAATCAATTGCAATGAGCAAAGACTAAAAACAAAATAAGACACAGCAATGATGCACAGTGTTTATCTTATACCATATCAATGATCTATTGTTTAGTTTAATCAATTGCAATGAGTAAAGACTAAATATTGAATTATTGAATGAATTAATGTCAAGAACATGCCAAGATACAACGGAACAGCCATGTACACAAGATTGAACAGCATTTTACTCATCAAAGAGAACTGCTAGACACAAGAATGTACACTTACCACAGCATTACATCTGTCAATCCAATAAATCCTATTGATGTGAGGCCCTTAACGTGTACATGCATGGAGTTATCACATTATAGTAAGTACAGTTACACAGTTGATAAACACTGAGCTCAATGTAACTGTTTAATGTGTTAATTGAGTGAATAATGAGCTGCTAATAGTAACAGCACCTCATACACAGTGCGATGAGTGTGTGTGCGTGTGTGTGATCATGGTGTGATACAAGAGTGCATGTTGAATTAGATGCTTATCAATTGAGAAGTTAAAGCAATAAAAACAAGGAAAGAAGGAAGAGATAGACAAACAATTACAAAGTGACTGTACTGAGGCATGTAACCACAACCCAGTCCTCCAATTACAAACACAGTGAAATATAGACAAAGTGAAGTATTGAACAGATACTGTATACCCATAGATACTGACTGACGGTTTATTATTACGATAAAGACTGATGCTAAAAGTAGTGTGTTAACTAACTTGGTGGGAATACGAGACATTCTGCAGCTAGCTTGGGATATTATATTGCTCACACGTTACGAGTGAAGACTAACGAATTGCTGGTTCCCTATCTCCTCACCGCTTCCTCAGTAGACAAGATCCAGTTTATTACTTTTGCTCTGCAGGCTAACCTGTCTTTTTATTGCAGCAGAGAAGCTTGAAACTGATAATAATAGAAATGACACGCCCAGTCTCAAATCAACTCGAGCTCGCCCACGCACAGTACAGCTAAAAATCAATTTTTGCTTTTTTGCTGCTGATCTTTTATTTTGATTATAATCCTAATGATCATTAAAATTAAAAATTAACACAATGACACACACTTTTCTACAAAATTATTAATAAATTATTGATCTATAAGTTCTTTTTCTACGAAAAGAGTAAACTTGTCTTCTTTATCGTTGTTATAACCCAAATGAAGTCTGAAATTTCCTTCCCTTTGTGTACATCTTTGGTAGAATTGTTTCAACTGAATTTCAGCGGCCTTCAAAAAGTCTTCTTCATTGTCAACTGTAGAAATAGAAATTGATAAAAAAAGCAAATCAAAAAATTAATAAGAAATACGCACATGATGGATCCAGGAAATTGCAAGGCTTAACAGCCTAGATAATAAAAATTAATAATTGAGCAAATTATAAAATTAAACTAACAGGTCCAGATCCATCAA